GCCTGTATTCGGGTCAGCCCGGACAGGTCTCAGTTCTTCAGGTACGACACCATCACCATGAGCTGCGGGGATGTGCTGAACTCCACCGGGTGGAAGGTGAAGAGGAAAACACTGGAGGGCGGGGTCAGACCCTGCTCCTTAGGTTGGGGCTCCACCTCCTCTGGGTCGACTTGCATCATTGGAAACATCTACCCATCGGACAGCGGGGTGTACTGGTGTGAGTCTGTGGACGGGGAGCAGAGCAACAGTGTCAACATCACGATCACTGGTACAGCACACAACACTGAAAACAAGTGGGGTGTTTGATATTATCCTGCCTGGAGTTGAACTGAAAGCTGCATTTAATCCACATCAAAATCCACATGTAGGTTTAGGATTATGTTGGAAATTAAGACGAGTTTCTTTCTTTTTGTAAAGATCGTACTGTGATCCTGGAAAGTCCTGCCCTCCCTGTGTCGGAGGGAGCCGCTGTGACTCTGTACTGCAAAGCTGAGACGCGCTCCCCCGACCACGTGTTTAATTTCTATAAAGATGGCCGCCCCATCGGCAGCGGCTCCACAGGTCAGATGACCATTCACAGTGTTTCCAAATCTGATGAAGGCCTCTACATGTGCAGCGTTTCTGGAGGTGAAGAATCAAGAGCCAGCTGGCTGGCTGTTGAAGGTGAGACGACCAGTCGACAGTTGCTATATAACTCAGAAAATGGCCGACAAATATACTATATGAACATGTTGGGACACAAAAACCTTTAAACTACCTTAATCACATATCCAGTAGACCTCCGCAACACCTGGAAACTGACTTTAAAGTGTGAGATCTTTGACCTCTGATGGTCAAACGTCTCATTTGACTGCAGTGAGGTAGAAGCGTACTCGAGGGGGCGTGTCAGTACGATGTGACATCACCACTGGGTGTAGTTACAGGGGCAACAGACATGAAGCTTTCAACCAGGGGTCACTGCTTTTCAACCTGTTATTAAAGGTATCCATGGAGGTTTTTGAGAGCAGCCCCCATTTTCAAAATATTTTCATCCCCAAATCCTAAACGTATCTTTATGCACATCGTATATGTTTATTCACTGTCCCTATTTCTTAATTTTCTTCACTTTCTTTTTATTTTTTGAACGTATGCTCTGCAAACATTGTTTGCTAGTACTTTGTAATATCTATTTGCAAAACTGTTGTACACATCTTTAATTGTATTCTTATATTTTGGTCCACTGTCTGATTGAAAAATTGATTTCTCATGAAAAGATGAATCAAGAGACCAAACAATCCCACAAAAAGTTTATATCTATATTGCAAAGTTGAAATACATGTGAAGGGAACTATGGAATTATGAAATGTGAAGTTTCTTTCTTCCTTTATTGGGACAGTTTTTAAAAATTGTTTTAACTTTACAGCTTCATCCTCATCTCGGACTGCTTCATGTTCAGTTTCTGTCTTGCAAATCATGTTTCACCTGCTGGTGGGAGCTCCTTACCTGCTGTCCACCATCTTACTGGGACTCATATACAGAGACAGGAGGAGAGGTAGGTAAACTCCTGTGAGACAATCTTTCTTCTACTAGCTAATTCTAGCTAATCATATCAGGCTAAAGCAACAAACCACCTCAGTTAGCAAGCTGCGCTATCGGCTAGGTAAGTTCTTTTATCTTTACCTCTTGTTTAACTTCTGCAACATCTTCCCAACCTTCAATAGTGACTGTTTGATAATCAAAACTGTAGCCTGTAGAAAGAAAGTGAGCTAAAAACACTGTGTCATCTGCGTAATGGATGATTCCAGTGAATATCTTTTGTCACACAATGTGGAAAATAATTAGATTTAAGGCTTTTCTCTTGAATTAGATGTGAACCACGTGACTGTATATAACCTTTTACACACATAAACCTACCCGTTCAACCTGATTGACTCAACTTGCATCGAACCTACTCCTCTCAGACACAAAGAAACCCTAAAGTTAAATTGTCACTCTCAAGATTTCATCGGCTTTTGCAACTAACAGGTTGAGATGCCAAAGACATTCTTGGCTGCATCTTTCTCTGGCATCTCTGTACCTTTTCACTGTTGGAGCTACTACAAGAACAAAGACTCAAAGCACAGTTCTCTTGCAGTATCCCAACAAATCTGTAAAGTGGAACCATCCTACAATCATGACAAACAGATTGTCCAGGTGTTTTTTTCAGCTATTAATCAGACTCTATGTTTAAACAGAGTAACAGGTTGCTCTTAAAAGAAACCGAAACATCTATTATTTCATAGAAATTTAACCACTGATGATGTTTCTTTCTTTGCACAGCAGCTCAGACGGTTGCAAAGACAAGAGGCAGCAACGATGTCATCATGGATATAGTCGTGTAGCCCGACAAACCAGTAACAAGCGGCCAAGAAATTCTGCATTGCTTCCAACCCTGCACCACAGAAGATTTATTCATTCATTCAAGGTCAGCAGAGATTGTTGCGAAGAGTTTACAAAGACCTCGTAGACGTAATGACCAACAAGGTCCTACCATGCTTATCGTCCTCTTTTCACATGCCTTCCAAAATGCATATAACCATTACAAAAATGACTGGCATATTTCAGAGTGTCCTGATCTGACACCTCTATGGTTATAGTTTAGGCAATTAAAACCCCATGGTTAAGGTTGGGGAATAAACACTGTAAAAAGTAACCAGATGTAAACATACATCCACAAGGAGTGGGATTATATAACAATGATGTCATCTAACGAATGATAAATTATGATTAAATTGGTTCTCATGCTTAACAGATTAACGTTAGTTTACATGAAAGGCTACATAAATTGCTAAATTGCAATGGATTACCTTAATCAGTAATAACCTACCTGATACTTTACTATTTCCACTGTTTCCAGTGTCAACAATGAACCATTAAACTAAAAAAATAATGCTTTAGTCCTGTCTTTATTACTAACAGTATTCTTGTTTATCTAGGGCAACAAACTGTCTCGATACTTCTTGGAAAGCTCGAGCACAGTAGTAACTGACGGTAATAACTCTGTTCAGACCTTCTCCCATCAGGATGTTGGGGGTGGGACGGTCAGAGGACAAGGTTACGTGGTATTTTAGTAGATGAATCAAACTGAAACTTGGGGGCAGACGCAAACAGATCTTTGAAAAGTGAAGGTGATTGTCCCTCCAATCCACTGTGGAAATAACAGTAGTGGTCTCCAACGTCAGCATCAGACACTTCACATGTCTGACTACCCACCCTGACTCTTTTCTAATGGTGAGAAAGACCACGAGTGGTCACTTGTCAAGTGTGGACAGAAGATTTCCTTTTTGTTCTTAGGTTTTTTTAATGCCATATTCTTTAAATGTGTTGATGAGACACAAGATGCAAACACAGAGAGAACTAGCTTAGCTTAGTTTAGCTGTGTAATTGTTGTGTGAACTACTGCTGTTGAGTGTGAAAAGGAAGTGGAGGAGTCATGAGCGTATGTGTGTTTAGAGGGTCGTTTGTGTGAGGTGTGAAGTTTTTACCTCAAACATCTTTTGTTTTGTCTTTTTTTTTT